GCCCTTGTTTAATTGTTTTGTTTTGAGATAGGGTCTTGCCAAATTGCCACAGCTGGGCTCAAACTTGGGGCTTCTTCTCTGTCAGTGTCCCAAAGTGCTGTACAGGTGTGAGCCACCAAACCCAGTTTACATTTGGTTTTTCCATGTTTTGAAGTTTCTTTTAATCTAATTGTTTTTGTTGTTGTTGTTTTTGAGACAGTGTCTTGCTGTGTAGTTCAGGCTAGCCTTGAACTTTCTGTGTAGTCTATCCTGGTGTCCAACTCCAGGCAATTCTCCTACCTCAGCCTCCCAGATGTTTCTTTAAGTCTAGAACACTTACCTTCTCTCCCTCATTTTTTTTTCTCCCTCATTTTTATTTTCTCCATGACTCATTGAAGAGACCTGGTCAGTTTTCTAGATTAGGAATTGATCCTGGTGAAATCATTGAGGTTGATATTAAGAAACTAGAAGTGAAAGTGAAATGGTGATTGGATTCAGGTTAAACCCTGGGGATAATAACTACCCTGTGTACTGTAGTATGCACATATTAGAGTACTGAGATGGATTAATAGGTTCTGTAGTAAGTAGCCTCCATTGTTACATTGTTTGAAACTGGCTGTAAACCCTTTCTATCTTTAGAATTGTGAAACTACTATAATTACCTGTTCAAAATATGAATGAAAAATCACTCTACAAGAAATTGCCATTTATAAAAAGCCGAATCCATAACAACTGTTTCCTTTTTATAGGAGTGGAATTTGAAGTTAGGAGAGATTAAAATTTATGCAAAATAGTAGACCTATGAAGTATTTTTGTCTGATTCTAAGATCTATGCTTTTTGTTTTTATTTTTATTTTTTTCCCTTTTGGTTTTTGAGACAGGATCTCACTATGTAATTGAGACTGACCTGGAACTCACTGTGTAGCCCAGGCTGGTCCAATTCACAGTGATCTGCCTGCCTCAGCCTCCCTAGTGCTGGGATTACAGGCGTGCACCACCACGCCCAGCCCTAAGGTCTATGTTTTTTCCATTGTGCTTTGTATATGTAAGCTGGTATATAAATGCTATTTGTACTTTATCTTTTTTGGACAAGTAGCATCTAATTAGATTATATTTTTTCAGTATCAGTTGATTAGATCTATGTCATGTGGTATCTGTAATTAGCCATTCTAAAAGCAGAATATGTCAACCCTTTTGACTTTTGGAGTCCCAAGAAATCTTAGTCCTCAGTAGGTTTTTTTTTTAAAAAAAAAATTACAGATTTTAAGAAGTGGGTAAGTAAAGGGCTAAAGGTGTAGGGCAAGTGGGAAGGGTGGGGGAAAGGTAATGAGAGAAAAAAATATGAGAAACTGAAAAAATGGAAATAAAGTGTTTGTAAATGGGGAGGGAAGGGGGGTGAAGGGAGGGCAGGGACAAGGGGAAAAAATGAGAATCAAGACCTATTATGTAAATGTACAGAATCCCAATGATGAATGTAACTGTATTGTATACCTAGATTGTACCAATAAACTCAATAAAAAAAAAAGTGGGTGTGGTTTTTATGTATATTTTATTTTGTTTTTAGCTTTTATTTTTTGGTACCTTGGGATCGAACTCGGGACCTTGCCCTTGCGAGGCAGGTGGTGGCACTACTGAGCCCTTGGTGTTACTAATACGAATGACTTAAATCTTAAAGTACACAAGGCTCTTTGGTGAAAAATAATTTATTTCTATCCCCAGGCCTTCATTTCTTTTACTGGAGTCAATGGCTGTATCGCTGTAGAAATACTGTATGTGTATATTTTCAGGGTAAATTCTAACAGTTATATGTATAAGCATCATAGCAGTATAATCTGTTTTATTTGGGTTTTTTTTTTTGGTACCGGGAATTGAATTTGGGTCCTTGGCGCTTTGTGAGGCAGGCGGCAGAACTACTGAGCTAAATCCTAGCAGTATAATCTAAAAACACTGTGGAAAGGGCCAGGGATTTAGCTCAGTGGTTCTGCCGCCTGCCTCCCAAGCTTAAGGACCCGAGTTCAATCCCCACCACCAAAAAAATAAATAAATAGAAATACTGTGTAAGATTATACTCCAGTTTTTATTGTTTCTATTCCAAACATCTTAATTTGTGTTCATTTATTCAACAAATATCACTTGTTCTAAACAGATGATGTGCCAAGAAATGGGAATAAAATGATGAACCAGAAGGCATTCTGAGGCAGGCCTCTGGTGGGGTGGCACAAGCCTGTGATCCCAGCACTCTGGAATGCTGAGGCGCAAGTGTGAGTCCAGCCTGGGCAACTTAGTGAGACCTTGTTTTAAAATCTGTATCAGAGGCTGATCAATCCCCTGACTGCCTTGAAAGGATGGCTAAAGAAAAAAAAAAAGACAACAGAGACGTGTAATTTCAAAGTATATGGGGGGCCTAGAGGTCAGTGCCTCAGAGTGGGCAAAGACAAAGACTCAGAGCACGCCTCAGAGTGGGCAAAGACAAAGACTCAGAGCACGCCACTTTTATTGGGTACGCACAGTAATTGGAGGGAACATCTGGTGGCTTAGGGGGTGGAGGTGGTCCTATATCGATGCAGATCTTATGCTAATGAGGATTTTAAGTGGTGAGGATCTTATGTTGATGAAGGAAGTAAAGAGAACATTCTTAAAATAATAGGTGGGATGAGTTAAGCTGACAAGGAATTTGTTCTTTCACAGGTGAAACCTGTTTTGTTTTTTAAATTTCAGTCAGTTCTAGAAGCAGAATGTCATCAGCAGATATAATCTTGCCCTTGAGCCATTTAGGCCTCAGCTGTGACCAGAGGCAAAATGGCGTTGTTTCCGTAGGCCTTAGCTGGCTAGTGAGCAAGGCGACATTGGGCCTTACTTAGACAGCTATAGTCATACTTTAATTATGAAGTGATTTTTTTCCCCAAGATTATGTAGAATGGCTCCTGACAGATCCCAAGATAAAAAAGGACTGGTGATATAGCTCACTCCCAGTATTGGGGTGGGGGGGCAGAGGGGGAACGAATGGAGACGGGAGAGGTATACATTAGGAGCTTTTTATTTATTTATTTATTTATTTATTTATTTATTTTGGTACTGGGAATCAAACTCAGGGCCTTGAGCCTGCCAGTCATGAGCTATATATCCCCAGCCTAAGGAGCTAATAATTGAGATTGATTTTTTTCACTTAGTTTGTTACAAGTTTATTAGTACATGTTTGCAGTATATGATTATATTTATCATAGGAAGTTGGTATGTGTACATAACTCATCTTTTTACATCCCCTTTTCCTCTAGCCTATCCTTCTCTTCTAGTATACTTAAAATAAATAATTGGTTAATTTTTTATTTTGGAGACCAAAATTAAAAGAAATTAGAAAGGATGACAAAGTTGAATAAAGTTCTTTTGACACCAAAAAAAAATTTTTTTTTTTTTTTTTTTTTTTTTGGTACTGAGGACCTTGTGCTTTTGAGGCAAGTGGTGGAACACTGACCTAAATCCCTGGCCCCACCAAATGATATTTTTGAGCATTGAGTTGTTCATCAAATATTTGGAGCATATTTGAAAATTGAAATTTGAAATGGACTACAGGGACAAAAATGGGCAAAAAATAAAAAACTTAAAGCAACTTCTTCAGTTTGCAGATGGATTCAGGCAGAATTCAGATACTTTTCCCCTGTGGCACTATTTTAAAAAACAAGAGTATTTTATCATTTCTCACAATTCTGTGGTTAAAAAAGGCTTTTTGGATGGTTTACCTGTTGGTCTTTCTTGGAATTGGTCATTGAATCTGGAACTCCCCAGGATGCCCCAGTTGCATGCTGTCAGCTGACACTGATTGTCCTGTGGGTACTCAGCTGGGCTGGTTCTTTTCCTCTGGGCCTGTGCTTTTATGTGGCTGAGCTTCTCAATGCACAGTGCCTAGGTTCCAAATGGGGGTACAGCAAGAAGGCTAAGGGAGAGAAGTTACAGATTTTTGAAAGTATAGGCTCTGAAATTAATAGAATGTCTTTTTTTTTTTTTTTGTACTGGGGATTGAACTCAGGACCTTGCGCTTGCAAGGCAGGCGCAATGCTACTAAGCTAAATCCGGGGCCCTGTACTGTCATTTTTACTATATTTTATTGGTCAAAATAGTTCATAGGGGAGGGGAAACATTATCTTTGGGTGGTGACAAGATGCCACTGCAAGAGCACATGGGGTAGGAGATACTGTTTTGGATCTGTAGAAACGCAGTCAACTCAATGCTATGAAAAAATTAAAGAGGCCCATAGAGGCATGGCAGGTTGCGGGACACGAAATGTGCAGTATTCCATAGGGATTCAAGGAAGGCCTTCCTAGTGAGGCAACACTTCAGACCCCAGATGGAAATGAGTGTAACTGTGAGTCCCATAGGACACCATTAGGAAGCTAGCACACAGACGCACAGAAGGCCTGAGGTGGGAGAATCTGCCAATCAGGAATTGAGGGTGTATGGGGTATATGTGACTGACTGGAACGATAGCCAGAGACTGATGGGGCACAGTCTGACAGGAGAGAACACAGATTGGTAGCTTTGGCAAGGACATAGAGTTTTCTGAGTAAAATGGGAAGCCCATTGGAAGACTGAGCAGCGGGGGGTTACATAATTTAATTTAAATTTTAAAAGACTCCTGTTGTGAGAATAGTTGGCTGCTGTTTGGAGAATAGATTGCAGGACAAGAGTGGAAGTTAGGAGTGAAGTCAGTAGGACCATGCCATGTGAGAGGTTAGAGAGGTGATGGGTAATGAGAAGTGTTAGAAGCTGGATGTGTTTCAAGGTGCGAGGGATAGGATTTGCGGAGGAGGGTGGCTATGTGGTGAACAGGAGCTTAGGGATGAATCTCAGCTTTTGTCCTGGGCACCTGGCAAGTTGGAATTGACATTTATTGAGATGGGAACACTGGGGTAGAGGCAGGGTGGAAGTGAGGAATATGCAGGACTTATAATTTTGGCTGTATTAAGGCATATTAAAGATGATATCTGGGGAAAAGCTACTTACTAAATATTACTTCCTCTTTGCAGGTGTGACGTGGGGTGCTTCAGAGCGGGTCACTATGGTACGAGAACGGAAATGCATATTGTGCCACATTGCGTACAGCTCAAAAAAGGTAATAGTGGAAGAGGGAGAATCTGAGGTTTTATGACAGCTTTTAAAAAGAGATATCTTATGAATAAATGGGTAAAAGCTGTTACCAGGGTGTCTTATTTATGCTCTAATGCATAGTCTCATTTCACTGGTTTCCATCCCATTACTGCTTCATAAAGCCAGTAACTATATTACTAAATTTTATCCAAAATTTGTGCATAGTCAAAGGTGGTATATAGGAATTTAGTTATTAGCTAGTTATTGGGAAAATATCTTAAATTTCAAGTTATTTGAGGTTATATTTTCTGAGATTTTAAAATGATGTACTTTGAGGAGGGATTTGAGACAAGGTCTCTTATGTAGTTCAGGCTGGCCTTGAACTGCAGTGATCGTCCTGCCTCAGCCTTTTGAGTGCTGGGAACTGGTGTGAGCCACCACACCTCGCAGAAAATCATATACTTTTTGATTCATGAATACTCATTGAACACAGTTCTTAATATTATATACCTCCTTTCTGTTTGTGGCCAGCCTTGTGAAGAGTCAGTGCAGGAGTATTAACAGTATCCCAGATGCCCCCACAAGGTGGGGATGATTACATCAAGGAAAACAAACCTTTATAAGAACAAAAGCTTACCAGCCAACCAAGGCAGTGCACAGGCTGTAATTCCAGCACTCCAGGAAGCTGAGGCTGGCAGATGGCAAGCGTGAGCCCACCCTGGGCAATTTAATGACTTAGCAAGACCCTGTCTCAAAATTTAAAAAAAAATTTTTTAAAGGATTGGGGATGTAGCTTACTGTAAAGACCCTGGGTTTAATCCCCAGTGCTGAGAAGGGGAAAAAAAGTAAAAAAAAGAATTTACCTGTGCCTCACGGAAATTGGGTACAAATTGCCTGACTCTTCACTTTCTCTTTCTTTTTTTCTTTGCTTTCACAGTATTGCTGCTGGCTTTAATACAGAGAATTTATTCTCTCTGCTGTTAAGGTGTTCTGGTTGTCATTAGAAATTCAGAGAACTGGAAATCAGTGGGCTGTGTTACTTAGTCAAGGGAGTTCTAAGTGGAAGCAGTGAGTGAGACAGTGTAAGTGAAATGGGGAAGAGATATTTCAGGTCGAAGAACAACATGAACAAAGACACAGATGGGTTGGAGCCAGTAGTGGTAGGTGTTGAAAAGAAGCCTCATCTGTTTAAAACAAATTTTGTCTTGGATCTTGGGGGACTATAACTTATAATTTAACTAAAGATAGTTGGTGAACAGTGTTGAAGATGCTAGGATGAAGTTCTTTTTTCCCCTTTCAGGATTTCTGTTAGTGATGCAAAAATGAGTTAGGACTTTAAAGTCATGTTTAAGAATAACCTGTTGCTTTTTTCGGCGGGGGGGGTACTGTGGATTGAACTTAGGACCTTGTGCTTGCGGGGCGGGCATGGTGCCACTGAGCTAAATCCCTGGCCCTGACCTGCTGCTTTTTATGAAAGTAAAAGACTGTTCTTCTAGTTTTAAATCTTTAGATTGTCATTTATATGAGTTGTCAGTAAATTATAATTCCTTGTGACTGCTTTTGATTGGAGGGAGATGGAGAAAATGTATGAGATGTATAGGCCATTGGTCAGAGAATGTGGTATCAGACTTCGGGAGAATAGCAGCCCTATCTGTGATACCATGATTTTGCCATTTTCAGTCTTTTTAGCATTTCTTCCTACTCTGGTAAATATGTTTTTACTTCATTTTTTTATGTGATCATAACGAAGTTAAATCAAGTACTAGAGTTACTCTTGCTTTAGTGAAAGAAAATTGTATATTATTCAACAAGGGAAAGAATGGCTTTTGTGCATAACATGGACTAAGAAATTAACAGAATGAATTAGTTGGAAGGGATCTCTCTAATACAGTATTTTTACATAGACTGAGCAATTTATGTTGAAGCAGTGATTTCCTCCAGTTTTCTGAGCAAGTATAATCCTAGTTTCTCCAAGTATGTTGTAAAGGGTGACTTTAGTAGGAAAAAGGTGTGTAGTACACCCTTGAGTATCCTGATGCCAATTAACATATAAAAGACAGAGAAGTCCAAGAATTTAAAAATATGCATATTTAAATTTTTAATTATTTTCCAAAACTGTTCAGTGATGACCCCCCCCAAAATGCTACCTACAAGGAACTAAGAGAAGCCCTGTATACAAAAAGATACACATTTGGGGCTTTTACTGTAATACTATGCCTGGGGATCTTGTCTAATTATTTTTCTTTTTTTGGTCCCGGGAATCAGGTCCTTGTGCTTTCGAGTCAGGTGGCAGAACAACTGAGCTAAATCCCTGGCCCTATTCTTTTGTAAACTGTACATAATTAATTACCTTCATCGTGGGAAGTTGGTCTGTGTACGTAATACATCTCGATTTTCCCCTCCCTCCATCTCTTGATCTCCTTCCCTTTTGGAGAAGATCTATCTCCATATTTCCTATTATCTTTTGTTTTGTTCTTTATATATATTTTAGGTCTCTCATAAGAGAAACTGCGATATTTAAGGTTGTGTATCTGATTTATTTCACTTAACACTGATGTCAAGGTACATCCAGTTTTTTTGTTTGTTTTTACAAATGACTCAAGTTTATCCTTTTTGGGAGAATACTCCATTGTGTATAAATACACTGCCTTGATCCATTCATCTGTTGGTGGACATAAGGGCCACTTCCAGTATTTAGCTATTGTGAGTTGTGTACATGGTCTGTGCATGGTATATATCACTGTAATAGATCTTTAACTCTTGGGAAGATATCTAGAAGGGGAATATTTGGGTTGAATAGAATTTCTTTTTTGGGGGGGCAGGTACCAGGGATGGAACTCAGGACCTTGCGCTTGTGAGGCAGGCAGCAGAGCAGTGGAACCACTGAGCTAAATCCCCAGCCCTAGAATTTCTATTTTTAGTTTTTTGAGGAGTCTTCATATTGATTTCCATAGTAATTATCTAAGTTTACATTCTCACCGACAATGTAGAAAGTTTCCTTTTTCCTCACAGCCTTGCCAACATTTTTTGTTTTTTGATTTCTTAATAGTCCTTTCTGGAGTAAGATGGAATTTCTGTTGTTTTAATTTGCATTTCGCTAATGACCAGAGAAGTTAAACAGTTTTTCATATATTTATTGGCCCTTTTTACTTTTTTGGGGGGTGGGTACCGAGAATCAAACTCAGGACCTTGTGCCTGTGAGGCAGGTGGCAGCACCACTGAGCTAAATCTCTGGCCCCCATTTCTGCGAAGTATGTAATCATTTCAGTTTTCCACTTTTTGACTGGGTATTTTATTGGGGGGGGTTGTGATTTTTTTTATTTCTTTGTATATTCTGCATTTTAGGCCTGTTATCTGAGGAATAGCTAGCAAATATTTTTGCCATTATGTAGGTTGTCTTTTTACACTGTTGATTGTTTCTTTTGCTGTGCAGAAGCTTTTTAATTTGATATGATTCCATTTGTTGATTCTTTTTTTTTTTTTTTTTGGTACCGGGAATTGAACTCAGGTCCTTGTGCCTGTAAGGCAGGTGGTGGAACCACTGGGCCTAAATCCCTGGCCCTCCATTTGTTGATTGTTTTTTTTTTTTTTTTTGGTTTTTTGAGACAGGGTCTCACTATGTAGTTGAGACTGACCTTGAACTCACTATGTAGCTCAGGCTGGTCTCAAACTCACAGTAATCCTCCTGCCTCAGTCTCCCCAGTGCTGGGATTACAGGCATGAGCCACCACACCTGGCCATTTGTTGATTCTTGATTTTATTTCTTAAGCAATTTGGATTCTGTTCAGAAAGTTCTTGCCTTTAAGAGTTTTACCTGCTTTATCTTCCAGCAGACTGTTTCTCCTTTAGCAATTTGATCTATTTCGATTTTAGTTTGGTATATGTGAGAAATACGGGTCTAGATTCAACCTGCATGTGGTTAGCCAATTTTTCCCAGCACCGTTTATTGAAAAGTCTATCTTTTCTCCAGCATATGTTTTTGGCCTCTTTGTCAAAGATCAGTTGGCTGAATGTGCATAGGGTTGTTTCTACATCTTCATTGCACTATCACCTGCTAATATGCATGGGCTAATTTCAGTTCTTTTGTATTTACTTGAGTGTGCTCTGTGAGCTAGTATGTAATCTATTTTGGAGAACATCCCATGTACAGCTGAGAAGAATTTGTACTCTGATGTTGTGGGGTAGAACTCTCTGTTGTAGACATCTGTCTACTAAGTCCATTTGTTCACAAGTTTGGTTCAATTCTGATATTTCATTGTTGATTTTTTAATCTAGTTGATCTATTTGTGACACTGAGGTATTACAATTACATTGTAATAATCACCATTACAGTTTGATTTTTACATTATTTTTGCAAATTTAACATTTTTTTATTTTTCTTGTCTGTTAATATTTGTTTTATATAGTTGGGTGCACTGATATTCTTTGCATATGTATTTATGATTGTTGTCTCTTCCTCTTGGATTGTTCCCTTTACAAGGATGTAGAGGCCGTCTTTGTTTCTTTTAATGAGTCTTTCTATTTTGTCTGCAAATAGTCCACTTTACTTTTTTCCTGGTTCCTGTCACATGGAATATTGTTTTCCACCCTTTGACTTTCAGTCTACGAATTTCTTTCTTTACCCTTCTCCTTTTGTCTTTTCTTTTCTTTCTCCCCCCCCCCCAGACAGGGTCTCATTGTGTAGTTAAGACTGACCTAGAACTCACTATGTAGCCCAGGCTGGTCTTGAACTCATAGCAATCCTCCTGCCTCAGCCTCCCAAGTGCTGGAATTACAAGCATGGGCCACCAGGCTCAGCTACAAATTTCTTTTTGAATTAAATGTTTCTTGTATGCAACATATTGTTGGATCTTTCTTTGTGATAATTCTGATTCTTTTGATTGGTTAATTGAAACCATTAACATTGATATAACTGATATGTATTGGCTTATCCCTTTCATATTATTTTCCTGTTGTTGGCTCCTTTCTTTCCTCCTTGTTTAATTTCTTGTCTTGCCTTGTGGCTTCATTCTGTTGGAGTTTTTG